GACTGTCCCTGCTATACTGACGGAAAGTCTTATTTTCATTTGTCAACTGAATCCTTTTTTTTTTTTTTTTAAATATAATTATAATTAAACATTTAATACTCCAACAGCACCCAAGAAGTAGCCAGGGTGAAACCTCACTATTTTAGTCAGTGTATATGCGGTATATTAGTCACTGCCCTGATAGAGAAGGGATGCAGAAATAAATGACGTTGACCAACTTGGTAAATACTTCAGCTTTTTAATGTAACCGAGTATTATGCACTTGTGGAGTTACTTCTAATTGTGACATGAAGTGATGGTCATGCCATGCATCTGTTACTGTGAATCTAATGCAACTGTACGTATCTGCCTACCCAGAGATTTTGTCAGTACTTAGAGGGACTGTGGTGTGACAATACCTGCAGCCTCACAGATATTAAACATAATCAGACATATTCAAGGCGTATGAATCTTTCCCATGTCAATGGGCAATTTATAGTCATCACAGAAGAAAGCCCATAAATCCTGGAAGCTCACATTTAAGTCATAAGGAGAACTTAACTACATCCTTGCATACTAAGCATAATAAGAAAGCTTTTGTGAAGAAAAGGAGGAAAAAGCAGAGTTCAGATAAGAAGTCTGTGATTGAAATGACAAAAGAAAAAGAAATGCTAAGTTTCTTTTTAAGACAGTGTACAGGTGTTATTTTAGTTGAAAGTGACAGCCAGTTAGGATGAAAGTCATTTTCCTGCACATTTTGCCAGCCAGATCTGGATATCAGATACATGTATCAGGCAAAAGGCTGCCTGAAGGGATTTTCTATAGTGGATAGAGAAACCAGTGAAACATTACAGGAGAAGCTCAGGGCAAATCATCAGCTCTATAACATGGCAGAGTTTTACCAATTCGTGTAGAAGACAAAACATACAGATGCCTTCAGAACTCCCAAGCAAAGCAGAAACAATATTGTGCAGTGCAAAAGGCACCACGGGAAAGAGCATATCCAGTATTGAAAGCTACAGACTTCTGACACTTGCAACCAGCAGCGTGCTGGGAAAATGCTGCAGCTTTCCTTGCCAGGAAAGCCACAGAAGCTGAAATCTCACGAGCTAAATTAACACAGAACTCTAGCAACATTAGCAAGAGGCTGACATACATAAATATATGGCTATAAGACCTCTGTACATTAAGAAGTATACCACAGTGTTATATGCTTTCTCTCTCTCTCAGAAACATTTGCCATGACATTTCCCAACCAAAACCTGTACTGAATCTTGACTACAGTAATTCAGAGGCAGATTTAAGTTGACTTTCATTAAAGCCTTTGAAAGATTTCACAGTACTACATCCACTATCACTGAGCATCAGCAGCTACCTTAGGTAGAGACACCTTCCAGACATTAGGTGATTCAATTTACTCTTTGAAGTAAAAATCTCTTTTTGTGTTAAATGAGTGGTAGGTGGGCTGTCAGCAAACAGCCTAAATGGCAAAATAATCAAATAAGCCAGTAAAAAGACAAGAACGGTGAGGTAGCTGTGAAGGAATGTAGGTATCTGCAAGCCAGCCATCCTTACTGGCCTTATACCCAATAGAGAGAAACAGGCACATCCTAGGGTGTGAGCCACCTCATACCAGAACTGACAGCCTAGGTAGGTCAGGTGAATCACACCTTCAAAGAGCTTTTCTGTATTCATCGACTATATATGCCACTGGTTTAGACGTACCTGTCTAACAAGCCTGGTCATTAACAGTTAGGTTGAATAAATAACTTCTGAGAAGTCAGCAATAATGGTATTGTCTATTTGCGTACACAAGATATACACAGGAAGCAGCTGTAGAATCCACCTGGAGCAGCAAGTCTTTTACTGTCATGACATCACAAGAAAGGTTCTTATTAAACATATATATTTTCCTTTTATGAGCAAATAAGTCACCACTTCACAAAGTATCATGGACTTTGGGCCTAATCCTGCAGAAGATTCTCAGGGATTAGCAAGAACCTAAGGTACATAAAGAATCCAGGTTTTCATTGATTAAAAAAATAAAAAAGAAAAATTGAGCAGTGAAACAAAGCCAATGCGAATCTGCTTTTTACCTGAACACTCACAATATCAGGATCACATGTTAAAGTGAAAGACTTGGTGCATGCAGAGGATAATTGATATATTGACACACTACTGTTCAGGAGACTTAGTACAAGGGCATTTGCTAAAATGTTGGTGCAGGTATGTCCAACCTCCTTTCTGTGCCATTTTGAATGCAGAAGCTGCCTACCCATTTTGACTCTGTTAATACTGTTTTCCCCATTTTCAGTACTGAACAAACATTTTATAAAGTCCACAGCTGCAGAACTAGTTTGAAGAGATCTGCAGTCTAGAAATATTGTCCAGGGGGAAAATCTGTATGGAACAGAATGTTTGAAAATCGTATGGAAATGTAAACATGAAGGGTCTGATTTAAGGCAGCACAGGAGCTTCTGACATTTTCTAACTTTTAATTTATTAACACTCAAAAGGCAATCATGTTCTTTAACACAGGGGAAAACGTGTAACTTCCTAAGCAAAGTGGGAAAAAACCCAAACTAGAAACCTACCACTGTGCAAGCATTAACAATCATCAGGGCACTGAAATATTTGCTGCTTAAGCAAGGGAACTAACTGGTACCAGTAACAAGCCCTCATATTCTCTGCAAACTGCACCAGAGAGATGCCATACCTTCCCTGTAGGTTTCAGAGATATTTACTGACAGTAGAGAAGAGGAAAATCTAGTTTTCCAGTTTTATTCAACACTGTGGAAGAAAGCACATGTAAAGAGCACCTCGTTGCCCACTTGAACCTTCTTCTCCTGAATAGGCATGTACCCACATAAGGACTTTTCTGTTCTTACCCCATCATGGCTTCCAGTCCCAGCGGATTGGATTTGGTTTGGCTACAGTTAATTTTCTTCACAGTACCTCATATGGTGCTGTTCTGGATTTGTACTGGAAACAGTGTTGATGATTCAGGGGTGTTTTAGGTACTGCTGAGCCAAGGCCATGTCTCACCCCATCCCACCATTCAGCAAGCTGGGGGTGCACAAGGAGTTGTGAGGGGACACAGCCAGGACAGCCGACCCCAACTGACCAAAGGGATATCCCAGACCATGTCATGTCATCTTCAGCAATAAAACCTGGGGGTGGTGGAGTTTGCCAGGGCAGTCCTGCTTGGGGATTGGCATTGGTCAGCTGGCGGTAAGCAAATAGGGTTTTCAGCATCATCTATTTTTCTTGTGTTTGTTTCTGGTTTTCTTTTTTTCTTTTTACTTACTAAACTGTCTTTGTCTCAACCCTCAGATTTTCTCACTTCTACCCTTTTGATTCTCTCCCCCATCCCGCTGGAAGGGAAGGGAAGGGAGCAAGCAGCTCTGTGGTGTTCAGCTGCCTACTGCAGTTAAACCGCGACACCCAGTCCCATTTTCCATGCCTGTACCAAGTAATTTTTGGCTAAAAGTATTTATCCTACTTCTCCAGGCTCCCTGTGCTAGTGCCAGCCCTTCGCACGGCCGTCCCACTTGCCCACCGGGCCCTGCCCCCCACACCGCCC